GGGGTGGAGTGGGAGTGGGAGTGGGAGTGGGATTGTTAAGCAGGAATCGTGAGTCTACAGTTGTCACTGTTAATGATCTTTAGCCAAATAATATTTTGAATAGTGATTTTTTGAAAGAAGTATGATTAAAAAGTAAGAAAAAATTTTAATTTACGTATAAAATTTTTTATTGTGGTTGAAAATAAGTATGAGAATTAAAGAGTTTTGTTTTAAAAATAATCAACTAGGGACTTAAGTAGGCCTATAGGATTGGATTAAACGCAGCAGTCTTTAGAGATTTGGGCCAACTGGTTTTGAATGTTGATGATAATTTTAATGTGCGCCCATAGGATCATGGTCTTGTGGGTGCGTGAAGTGCATTTCGAATCTTTGATAGAGTTGAAGTTATGTGAAAATTTAGTAACTACAATAATTTAATAAGAAGATTTCAAAATTGACTCGTAAATTTTTAATAAAAATTAGGTAGTGTGTGACTTGGACTAGGTGGTATGTGACATCTTCTGACAAATGATTGAGACCTATAAATTGTGGGTTTGTGACTAAGTACGATGTATCATCGTGACATAATCTCTATGTGATATGTTAGTTAAAATCATGTGATCATCTTATTACAACCCATTTTCTATTAATCAAAAAGTCAAGATTTCTTATATTCGTTATACTTTACAGTGTTTATTGAATGATTTCGGATATTTTTCTCTTAACTTAATAATAACCACGACGTATTTTGCCAGTAGAATTTGATTTGAAGCATGTAAGATATACATTAACTTTTACATTAATTTGACATCTTTCACATGGCATCCATTACAGCGTTTGGTTTTCTCAACATCCTTTCACATCACTAACCAAATTTTGGTAAAGAAGAAAATGTCATCCTTAATGTAAATAAAAATGTACGTCTAGAATAATTTAATAGCTTATGGGTTTGTGTTGGGGATTACAATAAAGAACTCGGTCAGATGATCCTTAAGACCAGGTGCGTGGAATGTCGACAGACTCTAGCAGCTCGATAAATATATTCAATGTAAGGAATAAATAAAGTGAAGGATAAAACTTGAACATGAATTGCTTAATACTTGGAGGCTACACAACTAAGGATGTTACGGACCCACCAGTTGCATCAAGTCAATTGAGCACTGGACCGATAAGACTAAGATGTTAGGCTATGATAAAGCAAGCTGATCCTCATAGATCTCGAGATCAAAAAAAAAAATTGTCGAGGACTGTTTTGACTTAATTCATCAAATATCAAGAGAAAACTAAGGACTTTGTCGGATACAGTTACAAATTTTAATAACGTCTTTCAAGTAATGAGTTCGAAAGTTGAGTATTAGCCAAAGAAACACTCAACTCGACAAACGCCAAAGGAAATGCACATTCAATATAGTTATTTAACTTATTCTACCTTTTTGTTGTACTCACGTTTTTGGACGGGGTAAGTTCATATTTCCTTTTATTATATTTTCTTTTGATTTTGTTAATAAAGACATACTACCTAGATGGTTTTGCGGTAAAACTCAAATATGAAAAAGTAGTTTAGCTGGTAGAGTGGTTAATGTTTTATTATTAGATTTTTGGTTTGTTAAAGGCTTCAATTGGTTGAATGCAAGAGATCTTTAATGGAAAGCTTGATCACTAATGATGTTTTTCGGGCTGAGTATGGAATCCAACAATCACACACCTCAAGAAAATCAACCCAAAACTGAACCAAATATCCCCAACTCCGGTTGCTTTAATGTTACTCACTTAGGACACACATTAAGGTAGTTAATGCAGCCACGAGGACAGTCACACAGGCCAAGGAAGAAGATGAAGAAGGCACAGTGAAAAGAAGCACCAAGTCGGCGCCAATTTCACCAAGAAAGGTGTTAGATATTTGCCTCATTTAGT